GTCCATGCCCATGCTGTCAATCATTCTGTGTTCAAAAGCCCCTCCCACCCCTTCAAGGTCAATACTGTAGGGGAAACACTGAACACTGAGGCAGTTTTATGATTTTTATCTAAAATTATTAAATGTCAGAAAGTTCCTTTCAGTTTATAAAATTCCAGAAACTCAAATTACCATTTTTTAATTGTTTTTTTTGTCCGTTTTTAACACCCAAATACCAACATTTAGTGAAAATGTGCAGTAGACTGTACACAAAATACGGTTAGAAGGAAATAGTTTCTGAAAAAAGGGAACGATTTTAACAACTTTATGGTCTCAGTTAGAAAACTGCATTTTTTAAACACAAGTGATGGTTTTCTATCATCTGCTTTCTTTTATTTCACCTTTATTCACACTTGAATCTTGTTTTTACTATAGAAACTGAGGAGGATGGAGTGCAGTACCCACCTGGCCCAGCAGGAGGAGCTGGTCAGCACACTTCTTGGTGTGTTCATAACTGGAGCGCTTCACCTCCTGCAGGTGGACTCGGTCCAACTGGAACTTCTGTGGAGAGAGGCGGTTTTACAGAAACACTTCTCTGAACTCCACGCTCAGGTCTGGTGAACGAGCTGAACCCACAACGCACCGCAGGATTCAAACGACGAGCAAAGAGAGACGGGGAGACAATTAAACGAGTTCGGCTGCAGAGATGGAGAGCGTAATTATAAAGTCTTTAAAAAATTCAGGAGGCTCTCTGGTGCCGACGCCTCCTCCTCCTTTCATTACTGGTGGCTGATTTCTCATTATTTCATTACATGTTCCCTGTTGAGAAGCTGATTTTTTCTGTTCAGGCAGTAAACGACAGTCATTAGGTATAAAAACAGAAACAAGAGCTAAACAACTATCATTTTCTCAGAGATGAGAGAAACAAACYGTTCGTCGTTAGGATGAGTTTATCTGATAAAATTTTGTTTCTGGCAGTCAGAGGAGCTGTTTGATGACAACAGGAGTCAAACGTCTGGTCTGCTGCTCAGAAGCTGGACCTGTGGTCACTGCGTGGCTCCTCATTAACGGGCAGCAGAGATTTCATGAAGAGAAACCAGTTCAATGTTTAAACAGCTGATAATAGTGCGAACAGTTCACCAGGATTCTCACTGTTCAGATCAGGGTTTCTGTTTTCAGCATGGATCTCGTCGCACAATTTTTTTACAATTCATTTATCAAAACGTTCAGCTCCTTCCTGCTACGACTTTTGGTATTTCAGCTATTTATACTTTTTTTTAGCTCTTTCACTTTTTCGGCCACATTTTTCCCACTGAAAATGAACGGAGCTGTTTTCAACATCCTTAAAATAATTTAAAATATTTCTAAATCTTTACAGAACCTGACACTTTTTGTTCTGCTTAAGCTCTATTTAACTTCCTTGTGTTAATTTTAGCACTTTTTTTTTGCTCATTTTAGCTTTTATCTGCTATTTCAGCAAAAAATTCTGCTTCTTTCTGTTATTTTTCTGCTATTTTATTATTTTTATTTTATTCTGTAATGTCACCTTG